GGGTTACCGGTACTCACAAATATGTCACACTAACATAGCTTACTGCTTCAACCATGTCGGTATACCCCGCACAGTTCCCTCACAGTTTTATTGCTATTTACCTAAAAAGGTGCCCCCAAATCCGGGTGTAGGATTTATAACAAACCCAAACAAGGACCCAAAAAGTAAAGCAATCAAAGCAATCAAAGCAAGTATGTAAAGGTGATCTAAACCCTAAGGTAACCCCACTTTTAAATACTATTGTCCCCAGCAGAGTCGCCAGTTCTGTGATACGGTGGGAGAACTGACTTGAGGTTTTGCGTTTGTTTTCGCACTTGTTCGGTTTAGCAAGAGTCGCCACCGACTTTTTATTTTATTCTAAAGGAAAGGTTAAAAAGCACAGGAAAAACCTTTGAGATGTTTTTGTGGGTTCGGGGGGTAGATTATAGAAAGGGAAGGTATTAGCACCCTTTCTATCCATGGTTATCCATGGGCTCTTAGTTACTCGTTTTAGATCACTTGCCTTGATTTTCAATTGTTTGAAATGGTGCTTTGTGTGTGTGGTTTTGAAAATGTTTTGAAAAAGATGCCTTGTCTAGGCAACCCTTGTAACAATTCTTTACTCGAATGTTTTACAAAAGGTGTTTGTCTTTTTGAAAAGATGTTTCAAGGTTTTGAAAGTTGTTTTGAAAGTTGTGTTGTGGAGTGTGTTTTGAAAGTAGGCAAGTGTATTTTGCAAGCTTGATCAAGTAACTAAGAGTTGTCTACCCCTAAATTTACTCAAAGATTTTTCTCATGTTTTAACCCTTTTAACAGTATTGTTCCACCATTGTATTTGGTGGACAATCTTGTGTTAGGATGTTAACGGGACAGGCGTGGGTCATCGTTTAGACCATGAATGCAATGGTTCCAAGTGTCTTTGGCAATTTTCTTGAAGGGACTATGATCATTTTGTTTAGGCAACTTCGAAAGCGTCATCGAGGGACTATGATCATTTGATTTGTTTTGTTTTGCCAAAGAAACTCAACATGCAAGCATGGCCCATTTTTGAAGGCAACAAGTGGAGGAATCCTAGGGGTGCAAGTGTGAATAGTGTATTGATTGTCATGCATTTATCTTGTGTTAGGTTATCTAGCGATTGATTTTATTGGCATACAAACCCTAAGTCTAAACATGGTATAATTGAAAGCGATAAATGGCGGGAATTTAAAGTCCTAAACTATTACAAATAAGTATCCGGGGATGGGGGTACAAATATTTACAAATGGGGAATGAGACTTGTCGGAATAGTAGTGTCCAAATAATATTTACAACCAAATTGAATCGCATTCTCAATGTAAAATGTAGCAATGTATAAGAATAAAAGTAATGTATCAAAAGTATTTGTGAAAGTGTATGTGATTATTTACTCATGATGAAAAATGTTAACCTAATATATTATTAAGTATTTTATTTATCTTTGGATTTTTGTTGATTATGTACAAACAAAATATTTAATAAAAGAAAAGAAAATGCTTAAGAAGTTCTATTTTTATGTATTAATGTTTTTATGTATGAAAAAGATTTATTAAAAAGAGTTTTAAGACAAAAATCTATTAACCTAATTAAATCTAAAATTTATGTATTTTTAATTGTAATAATATAAAGAGAAATATTTAAGAAAAATTTTGTATATAAAAAAGGTCAATGTAATATTTTACTTAAAAAAGAAATAAAGTGATAAAATAAAAAAGAATTGATTTATGAGTATAAAAAAATAAAAAAAGTTGAATGGGCCTTGGGGTTGGTTCTTGGCCCAAAACAAAATTTGAAAGAGAAACAAAAGGGGGGTATGCACGCTGAAAGGAGGGGTCTGGCGTTAGAAATGTGCTTAGCAGTTTGTCAAGGCAGAGGCCCAAACACGAGTTTGGCCATTTGTTTTAGGGTTTGTTTAGGTTTGTTTCAGAATAGGGATACAGAGTTACAGAGGCGCCGCTTCCACCTTTCTTCGTTCTCTTCACTTTCTTGAACGGAGGCCACTGATGCTCCTCCCTTCGCCTCAGCTACCAGACGCCATCTCCACTTCTTCCTCCATGGTTGGGCAAAGCAACGACGAGAAAAGGTAACAGTTTCGCCCTTTTTTTATGTTTTAGGGTTTTAGAATTTGCATGATTAAACTTTCCCTTGTTTTGATCTTTATGTTATTGTTATTGTTTACATGAGGTGTTAAAGAAAAGTGAAGAAGAATTATACCTTTGTTGTTTTGGAGACGGAGGTTTTGGAAGTGGACAGGAGGCGTCCCCGGTGGCCAGGGCGAGGGAGTGATGCTGAGAGCTTTGGTTTGTCTGGTACCCTCGTATCTTGCTTTTGTGTTTTATGATGAGCTTTCTTCTGAAAACGCTTGCCTATTTGCTTTTTTTCCTCTTCTGATTGTTTACCTCTGTATATTACTGATGTTGATAATTCTGAGTATGTTTATGTTGTTGTTGGCCCTATGATGAGATTGCTCTGAGGGTGTTTTTGGCTTGAATGCTTTGAGATTGGATCTTTGGCTTGGGCTTTAGCAGGCTACTGACTTCAGGCTTCAAGGCTTATCAGTTTGCTTGCTTATTTGGGTCACAGGCTGGCTGTTGTGACAAGTTTTGTAGGCAAACAGTTTTGAGGCAAGCTTAAACAGTTTTTTCTGGTTTGTGAGGCTTGTATATTGCAGGATGTTTAGGCTTTGGCCACAGGTTTGTGGTTGAATGTTTGTATGGTTTGAAACTGGGTTTTTAGGCAGGTTAAGGCTTGAAATAGTTTTGACAGGTTTTCATGGTTTTGTTGGTTTTGATGTTTGTGGGTTGAAACAGGTCTACTGCCTTCAGGCTGGTGTTTTGGCTTGAGGTGTTAGCAGGCTTCAGGCTTGTGTAGAGGTTGCAGGTTGGGTGAAGCTTATGCAGGTTGAACATAGGTTTGCTTGGTTTTGTAAGTTTCAAGGCTTTGAGTTCTTGCTGAAGCTTATCTAGGTTTGAGGCAGTTTTAAGCTTGTTGGAGGCAGGCTGAAAATAGTTTGTAAACTTTGAGCTTATGGTTCTGTGTTTACAGTTTGTGTTTATATTTTTCTATGTGTTGGTTCTGCCTCTCTTTTGCTTGTTCTGATATGTTTGTTTTTATATCTCTTAAGCCTAAGCCTGCCCACTGTAAGCCTCTCTTCTCTCTCTTTTCTCTCTCCACAGAAAAGCATTGTTTATTGCTTAGACTGTACTATCTCTGAAAAAGTGTGGCCTGGAAAATGATGTAAATTTGAATATGTTGCTTGCATTGTATCTTTCCTCTGCATACTTCCTGCTTTTCTGTCTTGCTTTTGCTAACTTTTAGGCAGTTTTGACAGTTCTTGGTTGACATCTCTTTTGGACAGTTCTGCACTTGGTTGGCCATTTTGACTTAGTTTGGTTAGTTTGAAACTGTGACTTGGGCAACTTGTTTTGGCATATTCACTTGGCTGTTCAGTTTGCCTCTTTGGTTGACAATTTGGAATTATGCAGCATTGTATATTTCCATGTAGCTTTGTGCATTTAATTGCTTGCAAACATTTTCTATCCCTCTTTGTGAACCAAGAGTTTTCTTGTGATTTGCAGAGAGGGTGAACAAACTGATTCCGGCCAATCACTTTTAATGATGGGTTTCTGATTAACTGTCTGCCTTTGATTTCATCTGTGTTGACTTCTTTTCTTTTTTGTCTTTGCAGATAAAAATCAGTTGAGCAATGGGGAGCAGCAGTAGAAGATGAAGATTTAGGATATAGTTTCAATTTATTTTTAATCATTGTAACAATATTAATGTAAACATCTGTAAATAAATTTACAGTGTTCAAATAATAATTGTAACAAATAATTAAAGATGAATAAAAATCCTTCTTTGTCAGATATTTCTTTAATTCTTCTGCATTCATTTATTTAATTACATTAATCTCTTGAATTATAATAATTGGAAATCATCCAATAATTTTAACTTAGAAATTATAAATAATCAATAAACGTCCGGCGTTCCGAATAACCAAAAAACATCGCACAGTTAAACAGGCAACGTCCACATGTCCTTTTTCTCACTGATCAAACTTAAACTTCAAACCTTCAATCAGAAGCCTCAACCCATGTCCCAGAGCCAATTGAAAAGAACTGCAGAATCAATTCCTTCTGAGAATGCACGCGCAAACCCTAATTCTTGATTTATCGTCAAAGAAACGTCCGCCTGATCAAAACCTGAGCCAACTCAACCAAACCCTAACAATCTGCTTGAACTGATTCAAAATCAATAAAAACCCTAATTTTGTCTGACTGATGAGAAAAGTCTGTTTGACCGATTCTTAAGCCAATCTGAAAAATCAGGAAAAGCCCGAAGCTGTGATTTCTTGTAAAAAGAAGAGGGCAAATTTTGGGGTACAACAGAGTCCCTCGAGGGCATTAGTGTTGTGTTGAGGTCATTGATTTGCAGGTTACTTGTTGAGCGAGGTTTGAAGATAAAGTCATTTGATATTTAAAGTGCAAACTATAGCTTAAGAAATGAGCTTGTGATTTCTTTGAACTAAAATGATCTGTGTTGCTTGATTTGGATATGTTCGTTGAGAAATGAAGTGGGCTTCAAGACTAATCTAATAGCATCAATCATTTTGGTCATTAAATTATCAAAAAAATCAATTCAAGAAGATTGAAAAGCAAAGGCGTATGGATTGTTTGAAGTTGAAGTTACAAGTTGCAAAGTTCAACATCCATCATTGTTTCACTCACAATTCATCATCATTATTCGAATTTTGTATATCATTCATCATTTACGTCATTCAAACTCAACATCTCAATATTCATCATTCAATGTCCACTCAAAGATTCATGTCCATTCAACCATACTTTTTCTAAGCATCATGCAAAGATTTTCAAGAAATTCATTTCAAATTTACAAATCCATATTACATTCCAAAAAAACTACAAAAAGATTGTAAATTACACAAAGCTACACTAAATCTATCATGCCTAATCTTTAGCTCCATCATATTCCATGCTATGACTTCATAATTCCATATTTACAACATCCAAACTCTTCGCCAACTTCGATTTAACCATGTACAAAATTGCTTCTGCGATAGGTTTCACATCTAGGCTCCAAGCTTTCCTTTGCATCAAATCCGCTACCATATTCACATTCATATAACCTGAATCAGTTATCAAAATAAACCATAAAAACCAGTTCAGAGAAGAAAATTCAAAAATTAGTTCCATGTTTGCACAAAATAAAATCGTCATGTATCAAGAAATTAAACCACATGGGAAGTATTATTCAAAATCAGGCTGGAGAGAAATGACTTCCAGCACCAGTTCATAATTTAAATCAGAAGGAAAATACTGAGATCGATTTTGACAAACATAGCTCACTTAGCTCAGGAGGCGATTTACAGCAGAAAACAGGAAAAGATTGGACCAGGGAATAAAATCGTGAGAAATAATACAAAAGACAGCTCAGCAAAACTTGTTACCAAAGCCTCATTTCAGATTAATCCTAACCATCAATTCTCTAACCGAAATTTCAGTTTCAAAGGCTCAGATTGATCCAATCCTAATAAACTCTAACAGAAATATAAAACAGAAAATTTACCTTGATTCATTCATTCTTCATCAGTAGTAGAATCACACAAAAATTATCTCTTCTCCTCTCATCTTCATTCTTCAATTTCACAGAAGAATCACCCAAAAATATCTGAAAATTTTCACTTCTCTCTTTCAATCTTCATTTAATCCTCTGCAATTTATTTCTTTCTCTGTACGAATGTTCATCATCATCCTCTTCCTGCAATAGTTATCCTATTCATCAACCTTCTCCATCAAACATACCTGCAGCAGCGGATTCTGCATCTTCAGTTTGCATTAAATCTACGTATTACAACAACACACACGATTCAGAAACGAAGAGATACAAGAACACTCAAAATTACGACTTGGCAGAATTGCAGAAGAAGAGTAAAGGCAAGAAAATGAAAGAAATACATACCTGATTTACAGATTGAAGAAGCACCGGACTATTCTCCGGAAGGTAAACTTTGAAGCTCTGATTCTCGCATATTGAGTTGTTCATGTTCATGTTATCCATTGAAATTTGTGAGTAGAGATATCAGAATTGAGTGAATACGAAGCTGAAGCAGGTCTGCAACGAACAAGACGAGGAGATGATGAGTTCGAAATGGAGAAGTAAGGAAGGATTGAGCATACGGAGGAGGACGAGCATACGGAGGAGGACGAGCATACGCCTTGTTTTTTTTGGAAGACGTTCGAAAGAGATGAGAGACTGAGGTTTTGTTTGCCGGAGATACGCTAGAGGTCTGTGGCGTTTCAAGTTTGGGAGGAGACGGAGAGACGAAAAATGAAAAGAGATTGTTGTCTATGATAGCCTCATCGCAACATTGAGACGGATGGGAGAAGAAGCTGCCACACGGTTGATGAGATAAGAGGAAGAAGAATCTGAAGCGTCACACCCAAATTTAACCATATGTTCCTTTTTCTTTCTTTTTTTTTTAATTTGTTTATTTACTCTGTTATTAAATAATAATAATACAAAAACAGATTAAGTATGGATCTGTGTTAGATTTTTTGGGTTGGACCATATTTTATTTCTCTAGGTCCGTTAGTTTGTAAAGGCCTGTTTGTTATAACATAAAAATTCTCCTAGACTCTCACTTCAAGTCCAACGCCTGATTTTATTCTCACACCCAAAGTATTGGCTTACACCCCCTGATCATCCTATTTTCTTGTTAGATTTAGGATTTTTTTTCTTTGTTAATGTTTTATATATTTTCTATGATAAAAAATTACAAAATTAATAAGAATTTGTTAGATTTTTTTCATTTGATTTTAAGAATTAATTCATGATTATCCGATTACTTGAGATTTGTGATTCACCTTTGCTTGTCGAGATTTGAGTCTTCTGCAGGTTTATTGTGCGATATACGGACACACTTGAGTTTCTGATTGTGACTTATTTTCACATCGATGATGCTTCGAAACTTATTCCGAGCATTTGATTTCTGACTCCTTTATGTTGCTTGGTGAAGCTTGCTCGAAGTTTTTCGGGTTTCTCTACTTTGCTTGCTTTGCTATGAACTATTGTTGGTTTGGTATCATTCTGATTCTGGTTTATCTTTCTGCACTTTACAGCTTTTTAGATATCATGAGAAGTAGGAAATAAAGAGCGTGCGCTCGAAGTTGCTATTTAAAAGTTCAGTAGCAGGCATTTTGCACTTGTTTGCTAATTGTGTTTGACGTTTGTTTAAATACCTACCTTGAAGTAGACGTTTTGCTATGTGTTTACGTTTGTACCCAAAGACCTCAAAGAAGACGCTCATTCTCATTCCCCTTATAAGTCCTCAAAAGGAGGCAAGCAGAGAGGGTTTGTAATCCACCCTCGCTTTTCGTCTGTGTCATCCTTAGCTCGTGACACACCATGATGCTTCGGAGTTGTGCCTACTCTTGTTATCGAATTGTCAAGTGGAAAAGGGTTTTGCAATCAAACCCCCACATTTTATCTTGATCTCACATCGGGCGATGTTGACGCTCCGTGTTTTTTCACTCCCCCTTGGCTAAACCTTCCCATATCTTACCCCGCTTGTTTGCCTCATTTGATATGAACCCTTGGCTAAAGCTACCCATTTCCTACCTTGATGCGTAATATCTTGGTTAGGCCTCTGTGACTTAAGCTAGTGTGCGCTTCTCATGACATGTGTGTGCTCTCTTAAGCATGTGGATTGTTTGTTTGTTTTTATCTTTGTGTATACCATGTTCCCTTAGGCTTTGAACCATTGTATTCTCCCTTAGGATCTCTCGATTAGGGTAGCTTTCGAGCTAGACATTAGGATAGGTATCCGTGCATGCTAACATAGGTAGAGATTTCCCCTTTTCATCCTCGACCATAGGGCCATCATTGTATGATAAAATTAGGAATTAGAGATAGGTTAGTCTCCTTTAGTTGTTTTTCTTTCTTTTTGCATCCTTAAGACTTAAAAAATTTTCTTGGAAAAAGCATAAAACATCTAACAACTTTCAAATCCTCTTTCAAGGTAAAAAAAACACCAAGCACCTCAAACCTTTTTTTCTCCTCCAAGATTTACATCAAAACTAATCAACTTTTCAAAAAGAACATGTTAATTCACTTTTGTGCTGACGCGTGAATATCCAAAGGTTGAGTTGTGGCAGAAGGCGAAATTAATATTGTTCATTAAAAACACATAACAAACTGAAACATGTGAACAGAACTACAATGCTCTGATTCCTTAGAAGGGGTACGTAGGCATATGGTCACGGGGCTCAGCCGAGCGAAACTTTGTAGATATTTCCTTCTTTTCCCCGTGTTTTCTTTCACATGAATTCCCTCTTTGCATTTTTCTCCTTAGCTCTTAAGCTTTAGATTTGAACTCACCCTTTGATTAGAATAACAAGAGTAGATAACGTAGTGTACTACGGGCGTGTGGGATGCTAATACCTTCCCCTCGCATCACAGACTCCCTTACCCGATCTCTCAGTTATTCGACATTGATTTCACCCTTCTCAGGTTTACTCTATGTTCACCTTTCCCTTCCCGTGGGATAAAAAATGTTCGATGTCGACTTCACTGATTTCATCTCGATGATATGTTCAGCCGGTTGTTTCAGCCACCCTTATCTTCATCTTCTTCGTGAGAATAACAACGACAACATCCATGGTGTAAATTCCAATTTCCTCATTTCTCAACCAAATCATAAAGTGTAAAGATCAAACTTGCTCAGATTTTAACAAGGATTTCAAAAATGTACATATCACAAATTAATATCAATTGTAGCTCATGATTTTTGCTTAAAACCTGAAACCCTAAGTTTATTCAAAGTTAAATTAAATTATGAATAAGATCAACCAATTCCTACTTTCATAGGGTTTTCATTCATGACATTCAAACACACAAGATAGTATTAAGAAATGTTCAAAATCATGCTTGTATGGATGACTTCCAAATCAAGAAAAACTTACCAATTTTTTGCAAGGTCTAATTCATGTTGTAGTGACTTTCAGAGGTGCCTATGATCTTTTTAGCTTGTATAATATCCGAGGAACACAATGCAACCTTTGGTTTGCTTTGAAACTGCCGCAAACTTTATGACCAAGTCCACTCAATATAATGAATGAGCACGGGTTAGATGGAGCAATGGGGGTGTTCCAGATGTAAAATAATTCATTTATAAACTTATATGTAGTGTATAGATGGTGTTTAGATTATTAGATTGCACATAACTTGCAAGAGGAGAGAAATTCAAAGAAATGGTTTTTTTAGTTTTATTGGAGTTTCAAATTCTCACTATGTGTTTCTATGAGTTTCAGAGGGACTTGAGGTATGTTTTGGACTGAGGAAAGACCCTATATTTATAGGGAAAGGTTGAGATATCAAGGGCTGATGAGAAACAAAGTCTTTCAAGTTAAGGTTTAGTTGGATCACAAATGCAAGTTACATGAATATTATGGTTCCAAGGTGATACAAAGCTTGATTTATGAGTAATAAGTTCTATTTTCTTAGTATAGAGGTAGTGTGTGTTCAGAAGCAACAATGTAGAGGCTCCAAGCAAGAGTGGTTGGAAAAGTGATCCATTATGCAAATGGATATCAAGCATTTTGCAAATTCTTCCAAATATGGTATCGTGAATTGGATAAAGCCTCTAATCTTTGTGTAATGCATCAAAGGTTTGTGTAATTACTCAATTATGTTGAGATTTTCAAGTAATAGGACCTGTAAAATGAGATCTCATATTTAGGTTTAGGTTTTGACATGATTTTGAACCATAAATCCGCCTTGCAAAACCTCCATATCTCGGCCTCTTCATCTCTTCGAAACTCCTTGCTCAAGTATGATAAATTCATGCTATTGGAATTTTTGGAAACATGACAGAATCCTCTACAACTTTCATGTTGAGCACATGGCCTGAATTAATTGTGATCATGGATAAAAATACCTTACAAAAATGGTGTTTCAAGCTGAAAATATTAAGAAAATTCTTCCAAGTCTTTGGACATTTTAACAACTTTGAGATACCTTATTGATTAACTTATATCTTTCAATACTCATGATATTTTTGGTTCATTCCTTATACAATGTTGAAGTATGTAGGATTATCTTGAAGTACATTCTTTGGGCATGAAAAATGGTGGCTTGAGGAAAAGTTACAAGCTTGGAAAGTCATGCATTTGAACACACATTTTTGACACTTAGTGAAATTTTCAATATCTTCAACTTTACCCTTTTTGAAAGTTACCTCAAACTTCTTGATTTTTCTTGATCAAATTCACTTATCAACCATATTTTTATGAAATTTGACTTGAGAAGTCCATATTTGACTAAAAATCTCAAAAGTCAAAGTTTGACTTTGAGAAGTTGGCTTTTCCAATTGAATTCAAATCTTCCAATTTCAATGGAATTTTGTGATCATAATGAAATCTTCAACACATTGAGACACCCTAAGGATTATGATATGATGATATTTATGATCTTTTAATTAATACACATGTGCAAATACCAAACCCTAACTCCCGATTTTTCATCTGAGGAGCCAAAACCCTAATCTCCTTCAACCACTTGATGAATCCAATGATGAAACACTAATGTGATAAGGTTGTGATGAAGATTGTTGTACCCCAAAATTTTCCCTCCCATATTCTTCAAGATTTGCAAAGAGCATGCTTCAAAATCTCCCCAAGGGTTGCATAGTTCAAAGGCCTCCTAACAGTCAAAAACTAGGGTTTTGATTATGACAAAGAAAATGAAGTTTCCAAGGGTCCAAACAAGTCCAACATGCCTATAAACATGGTCAAGTATCCTCATATCAAGTTTCAAGACTTACAACACAATATTGCACAGTCAGAAACCCTAATTGCTCAACAGTCAACTGTAGGGGCAAAATGGTCATTTGACAGTCAAAAGTCCAAATTTTTGGTCAACATCTTATTTTGAAGCCACAAAAATCATTTGATCAATTCTTGATCATGATTTTCAAGGCATGACTCAAAAAGTCTCAAGATGCAAAAGTTTCCATATTTGGACAGTTGAAAAAGTCAACTGTAACTTGACCAAGGCATAAC